CCCACCCGCAGCGATGGCAGAGCCACCAGCAGCCGCCTCCTCCTCGGGCTTCCTGCACCCCCCAGGCTGTGATTTGGGTTTGTACCTTTTGGACTCAGCTGTCTCTGAGCGTGGGGTTATATCAAAGAGCTGAGGTGGGCTGGAGAGCCCCTAATTCCCTCGTTTGTCTTGCTGCCATGTCCCCAAGTGTCCCCGAGTGTCACAGCAAGGCGCAGGCACAGGCAGGGCTCCAAGGGGGACCAGACCCTCCCGCTGCCCCTCCATCACTTTGTGTAAAGCGTTTTGTCTTTTGGGACCAACAGGACGCCCTGTATAAGGGGGGGACCCTGTTTGCTGAACCACCCCCTGGGGCAGCCAGCCCCCAGCCGCGCTATGGGATGCTGCTGGGAGAAGGATGCCGAAGGATGCCGAACCCTTCAGAGCATCGCTCTGCCTCCACACCCTCCTCTGGGGAACCCAAACTCCACCATCATCCTCTGGAACTCTTTTTTCCATCTATTTCCATGACAACCCTCCATGCTGTGTCCCCCCCTTTTCAAATTAGGTCACGCAATGCCTTGCCTTCTCCTTGCTCTTTCTCCTCTTTACCTTTTCCCTTCTGGGGGGTCCCTGCATCCCCAGACCTCTCTGGGTACCCATAGGCAGAGGGTGGTGGCACCCAGGGACCCTGCGGTGATGCTGTGACCTTTTTTTTCACTTGGGGACACCTCGGAGGAGGGCTGTGACGCCGCATCCCCTCGCTGCCGTCACCCGCAGGGTTTTAGCTCCTGAAAGCGAATTTGCCAGGCTCCCTCCGGGGAGCTTAGCACCGGTTTGGGATGACGATGCCACCCCCTCCCATCTCCCGCACGCTTTTTTGGATTACATTAGCGTCAAGGAAATATTTTAGCTGCTGGAAAAGTCTGAAAAGCAAAGTGTCTGAAGTGGGGGATTAAATGCTCACAGCTGATTTATTCATAAAAGCAAAGTGAGAGGAGAAGGAAACCTGTCTGGCAATTTTGGGGCTGGGGGAAGGGGGGGAATTGGCCGTTGTTGTGCTTTGGGGATGTCCCGTGGCCATCGGGGTGGCCTGGATGTTTCTCCCACCCCTTCTCCATCGCCCCCACGCAGGGCTGGAGTGGTGGGAGCG